CTGAACAAGAACTGAGAGGCAGCAGACTAAGCTATAAGGAAGACTAAAAAAGAAAGAACACTACACTGAAGCTGAAAGACCTGATCCTAGTGTTGGTTCTGCTGCTAAAGCTGCAGCTCCTGCCAGCTAACTTTTGTGGGGCTTCCTCATCTTATATGCATTTACTCTCCTTCCACAAATCCTAGAAACTAAAGCTGTTTTCTCTCTTCTACACAAATCATTAATAATAATAATAATAAAATACTAAACAGAACAGCCATATCACTGAAGACTCCACTTCAGACTTTTCAGTTCAACATGGTAGACTGAACACATGTTGCAGCCTCCCCTTTAATACCATGCCAGAACACAGTAAGAACATTCTGTAGCAACAACTATGAGGAAGGCCCAAAGAGTAAAAAGCAGCCCTGATACATTTGTGAAATATGCAGAGGCAGGGCCACCAAAGATGAGGGCAATATTCCATATCAGGAGGTAATGGAAATCATAGCAGGAAGGAACATGGAGGCAATCATGAAGGTAGAGAGTTGGGAGTACCACAGCAGGAACAGGTGGAACCCCCAAATCTCCCATGGGCCAGGTAGCAGTAATGGTATGTCTGTCTCTAGGCAGAAGCAGTGACTGTCCTAGGAAGATTCATGCCCAGAAAACCAGTAGCTGAGGTACCCCAATCAGTAGTATTGTCCCATTCCACACTCACATGGAAAACAGTGCTGCACGATGCAAATTCCCTGCACATGCTCCTGCACTTCCTCACCAGCATAACTAAAAAGATGAAGGTTATGATGAAGAACCAAAGTATTTGAGAAAAGATAAATAAGACTCAGCAAAGAATTTGCTTAAGAGGAAGAGCAGTTAAAAAAAATTCAAAACCAAGATTTTAAAATAAGCATTAATATCCACAGAAAGATTAGGCAAGATTACTACATCCAAAATAAGAGCAGACAATTATGAAATAAGAGCAGTGGGTTATTTTAAAACAATTAGAAATCTTAAAAATTAAAACTATAATTTTAAAAACTCAAATAAAACTCAATAGGTTGGGCGTGGTGGCTCATTGTAAACCCTGGTACTTTTGGAGGCTGAGGGAGGAGGACTGCTTGAGCCCAGGAGTCCCTTGGCAACATAGTGAGACCTCGCTTGTCTCTATCAAAAAACAACAAAAAAAAATTAGCCAAGCCTGGGGGCACAGCCCTATGGTCCCAGCTACTCAGGAGGCTGAAGTGGAAAGAATGTCTAAGCCCTGGAGCTATGGTGAGCTGGGATCATGCCACTATACTCCAGCCTGGGTGACACAGTGAGATCCTGACTCAAAAATAAAAATAAAAAACTCCTTAAAAAAGGTTCAATAGCAAAATAGACACAACTGCACAACTAATGAGAGGTAGAAGATAGGACTCAAAAGTTCTCCCAGAATGCAAAATAAAGGAACACAGCGAGAAAAATAAAAAGTTTGGCTGGGCTCGGTGGCTCAGCCTGTAATCCCAGCATTTTGGGTGGCTGAGGTGAGTGGATTACCTGAGCCCGCAGGTTCAAGAGCAGCCTAGGCAACTTGGCGAGACCTTGTCTCTACAATAAATCAAAAAAATTAGCCGGTGTGGTAGCACCGGTTACTGTAGTTCCGGTTACTTGGAAGGTTGAGGCGGAAGGATCGCTAGAGCCCAGCAGGTCAATGCTGGGGTGGCCATGAGTGTGCCACTGCACTCCAGCCTGGGCAACAGAGTGAGATTCCAACTCAAAAAAAAAAAAAAAAAATTCAGTCATGGAAGACAAATTTAGAAGTTCCAACAGAGAGGAAATATTTAACAAACTAATAGCTGACCATTAAGATAAAGAGAAAACCTAAAAATTACCAGAAAGAAAAAGCATTTCTTACCAAGCAATGAGACCTCTAATTAGGATTCACCATAGACGATCCCTTCCCCTTCTAGCAATGCAACACAGCCTAGCTACTCCTCTTCACAGGGTTGGGGAGTAAAGGTGTCCTGAAACCTAGAAAACCACCCCACAATCTGTAGGACATCGAGTGGTGGCTTCAAAGACCTTACCGGTCACCTCCTACCTGGCTGTCTCCAGCTCAAATCCCCAGAACTGAAAAGAAATATGAGCTGGGCTCAGTGGCTCAGCCTGTAATCCCGCACCTTTGGGAGGCTGAGGTGAGTGGATTGCCTGAGCCCGCGGGTTCAAGACCCGCTTGGGCAGTGAGACCTCATCTCTACAACAAATAAAAAAATCAGCCGGCCGTGGTAGCGCATGAATGTAATTCCGGCTACTTGGAAGGCTGGGGCGGAAGGATCGCCGGAGCCCAGCAGGTCCATTTGTGTTTGAAGAACTCGTATCTACGAAAAAATATTAAAGAAAAGACTCTGTGGTCTTAAGAAAACCTTCACATTTTAAGTCCACTAAAATCATGACCGTGATCTTTTATACCTATTACAATAACAAGAATGGACACTGTTAATGATCATTTACCTCAGATCCTGAGATGACTTTTCTGAGATGACAGCCCCAAATTTAACTCAGGACCCTGCACAGTTTAAGCTCAATGTTTGTTGAATGATTAAATAATACAGAGGTGTGAAGGATGATGGTAGTGTTGAAGGTAATGTTGGGGCAACACGGGAAGGCTGGCAAGAGATGAACTGTTATTTGGAAAAGGCAACCTCTGGAAACTTTTTGTCCTTCACCCAGGTACCTCTCTCTCCATAATCAATTCCAAGGTTATATTACAAAAGTTCAATTATGCATTCATGGCTTTGGCAGATTCTTCAGAGGATACTGAGTCTGAGTGCCACTGCTAGAGGATCCAGCCTCCTCTTCTGTAGGCTTCTTATCCACTACTCTCTTCTGGTCCTTATAGGATTTGGATTCAGACTTTCCCTCAGACTCAGGTTCTGTATCCATCTCTTTCATCATACTACTTCCTCTCCATCCTTTGTCATCTTCTTCTTTCTTCAACTTCTTTGGTTTCTTTTACATCTTTTTATATGTATACAACAATTTATTGAAATCTTTTTTAAAAGCCAAGTTTCAATCACGGTAATCCATATTAACTGCAGCCTCAGTAAGGTCTGAGGATTGGCTTAAGATAGCACTTAATTTCCTTAGATTTACCTCTATTGCTTATTGGGGGGACTCATCTTCTTCCTCAGCTATACATATACACTTTCTCAGTATTGCCAAAGATAGAAACTTGAGTAGCTCATTAATTTCACTTTTCTTCATATTGATGAATTTAAAACCATCTAGGCCGGAACCGTGGCTCTCGACTGTAATCCCAGCACTTTGGGAGGCCAATCCAAGAGAACTGACTGAGCCCAAGGGTTCGAGATTAGCCTGGGCAACACAGTGAGACCTCGTCTTTACAATATATCAAAAAATTAGCTAGGCATGGTGGTACACACCTATACTTCCAACTACATGGAAGACAGGTGGAAGGATCGCCTGAGCCCAGTAGGTCGAGGCTGCAATGGCAATGTGGGTGCCACTGCACTCCAGCCTGGGTGACAGAGTGAGACTCCGACTCAAATAAAAAAATCTTTTTTGCAGACGCTATAATTTTTTCAACTTCATCAGCTCTAGGGAAACATGCATACTCATTCACAATATCCTCCCAAAGTTTCCACCAAGCTTTATTAAGAACAGCTGGTTTCATATCATCCATCACCTCTTTTATCACTACCAAAGCATCAACAATGTTGTAATATTGCTGTCTTTCAAAGGCAAGAGTTTTTTTTTGTTTTTCAATACAATGAGCAAAATGGTTAAACATATACCTGGTGTAATACCTCCTGAAAGCTTCCATTATACCCTGATCCAAGGGCTGAAGAAAACTAGTGCCTTCCTGAGGGAGAAACATAGTATCAACATAAGAACCAGTAAAAAAAAAAATGATTATGGGTGATTGGGGCCTCTGTCCAGTTAGCAACACTCTGAATTCCAGATTTTATTGTTAAATAACTTTGGACTTGACGGATAAAACAATCATGAGCGAGCATCAACTACTGATATTTTGGGGGTGTGACTACCAGAAAACAGGAAGGCGTTTGCAAAAGACTAGCGGGTCTTTGTAAAGCTGCAGTGGTTTTATCATTTTGTCACCTGAGGCACTGGCACAAAAAAATGAGGTCCTTAGCTTCCTCTAAGCTTTTTGAATTTTTGTCTTTTTCCTTCAAAGTACAAAGGCATGCCCTTCCAAAATGGGCTCATCTCCTTGGCGTTGAAGACCTGTTGAGGCATACAGCCTCTAGCTCCGATCAGTCTCTCTCCAGGTGCCTGGACTACTTGGGTGCCCTCTCAGCACGTAACGGTCCTCCCTCCCTCATCAATCTCTTATTTCGCAGACAGCAGCGATTTGTAAAGTTCTCAAGCCACTCCTTGCTCGCATGAAGCTTATCTGGGCGCCCTCCCCAGAGGTGTCCAGCTGTTCCTCAGATGCGTTTGGCTTGAGTGCAGATGGCCTTCCGGTCAGACGCCGTCCCCTGGAGGCTGGTCCTCCCCCCAAAGTCTCCATCTTCTCCATGTTTACATCGCGGGAACGCATAGCAGCCTGAAGCACATGGGCCACACACCCCACGCCGCTTGAGCGGCCTTGTTTTCCTTCACTACATGCACGCTGACAGGCCAACTCCTCCCTGTGCACACGGCTTCGTCCAGCTTCCCGAGTACACTCATCTTGCCTTCCAGAGGCATGACCCTCCGCCTCCTACCGATGTGTATCTGGTCCGGGGCCAAGACTCCTCGCGAGGCCTCGCCGCCGCCCAACGTGGCTCAGCCGCTGCGCCGGCCGGGACGCCTCCGCGACTGCCGCCTCGAGCCTGGTTTTGGCGCCGGAAATCCGACTTAACTTCCGGCAGGTTCTCATCCTCACGGCTCCGCTCGCGGGTCAACACATAAGCCGACGGGAAAACTGGTCCGTGGCCCACGTGACGCCAGACCGAGAGACCCGCAACCACTGGCTGCTGTAGACACGGTCCCGACGGACGCTTCTCGCGAGCCTTGCTGCCTCGTACCTCTCTCAGGGATAGGGAGGCTGTGATCCGCAGATCTCGCGAGGCTCGGAGAAGAGCCTCGGAAACCGGGCTGGTGGGCCGGCCCCTGCGTGAGTATGGGGGGGGGGCAAGATGGCGGCCCAAGCCTTGTCGCTGCTGAGAGAGGTGGCGAGGCTGGAGGCGCCGCTGGAGGAGTTGCGCGCGCTTCATTCCGTGCTGCAGGCCGTGCCGCTCAGCGAGCTTCGTGAGCAAGCGACGGAGTTGCGCCTTGGCCCGCTTTTCTCTCTGCTCAACGAGAACCATCGGTGAGAGCACCTTGGGGCTTGAGCGGGAGAGAGGGGCACCCCTACGTATGGACACGAAGGTGATTAGGAGCGAGAACAGTGCTTTTCCCAGTCACGGGAAGGTGGAAAGTAGCCGAAATTGCAGAGAGAGAAGGCTCCTGGGCTGAGATGCAGGAGACGGGGTTCAGGTCCAGCCTGAGGGTGTCTTCGGTCATGTTTTCCTCTCACCTGGCCTCACTGCCTTTGCCCTAAAACTGGAGTTGGAGAAGAAAAGCAAGGTGTCCACCTGCGAGGAGGACCCCACATCCTTGTGTACAGGTTGTTGACGTTTTCCCTCGTCTTCTAAAGGGATCCTCTCTTGACAGCGTGGCCAGACCCATCAACGTTTTAAATTCACACCCCCTTTGATCCAATTATTCTTGTTAGAGGAATTTAATGCAGGTATACTCGCACAAAATGTACACTTGATGCGTCCTTTAGAACCCGCCACTGGAATTGCCCCCAAAGCAGCAGCAGGGCAATTCTCACAAGGGAGTGCCGCAAACCGTCCCAAGATGTGGCTTGTTGGGATTCCACAGAAGCAAGCACCAAAAGCCAGGGTGATCAGTCCAAGGCACTTAGGGGAACTTACAGAGAGGCTTCAGCAATCCCACGAGAGAAAAGGGATGTTCTACCTGGGTATGTCCCCAGCGAGTGGGGCAGGCTATGGAGTTTATATAAGGGTTTAAAGGAATTCGGCCAAGGCCTGAGGCCAGTTTCTTTCAGTTTTTTGGGCAACAACCTAGATATCTTTATCAGTGCCTGAGAATGTTCAAGGCCGCGATTTAGGTTCAAGCCTGCTTGGGGAAAACTTTGCAGCTGGCTTGGTCAGAGAGCCATCAAGGAACTCTGATTTTCTATGAGGACACAAAAAGAAGGGGTGCTGGGAGGAATGGGAGATCCTACAACAAACAGTATATACAGGTCTATTCATAACAGATGGTATGTGACACCAAACACTAGAAGCAATAAAAAAATCCATTAATGAAGAATTCTGATTAAAGTATGAAATATTACTATGTAACACTATGCAATTATTTAAGATATTGAGGTAGATCTATATATTTAAACATGGAAAGATCTCTAATATGTGATATTGAATGAAAAAAGAAATTTGCTGAAGTTTGTGAATCTGTTATTTTATGCTGCACTTTTTTGCTTTATTTTAAAAATTATTATTATTATTATTATTATTATTGTTTTTGAGTTGGAGTCTCACTCTGTCACCCAGACTGGAGTGCAGAGGCTGCTCCCGGCCACCGCAGCCTCAACCTGCTGGGCTCCTGCGATCCTTCCGCCTCAGCCTTACGAGTAGCCGGAATTACAGGCATGCACTACTACACCTGGCTGATTTTGTGATTTATTGTAGAGATGAGGTCTCACTGCCCAGGCAGGTCTCGAACCCGTGGGCTCAGGCAGTCCACTCACTTCAGCCTCCCAAAGGCGCGGGATTACAGGCTGAGCCACTGAACCTGGCTTTTAAAATTATTTTATTTTTAAAATGTGGGGTACTAATGTGGGGTACGTGGTCACCATACAGGTAAAGTGTGGGTACCCTTATTGATGTTATGTGCCCCCCCCCGCCCTCCCCTGGCAGTGTCCCGCTACTGCCAATCCCTTCCCTTTTTTTGAGTTAGAGTCTCTATCACCCAGGCTGGAGTGTCGTGGCACACTCACGGCCATTCCAGTGTCGACCTGCTGGGCTCCTGTGATCCTTCCGCCTCAGCCTTCCAAGTAGCAGGAACTACAGGTGTGTGCTACCATGCTGGCTAATTTTTTTTTATTGTAGAGACAAGGTCTTGCCGAGTAGCCCGGGCTGGTCTTGAACCTGTGGGCTCAGGCAGTCCACCCTCCTCGGCCTCCCAAAGTGCTGAGATTACAGGCTGAGCTACCAAGCCCAGCCTCTGCCAATCCCTTTCTTATGGTATTATGATAAACATTCAAGGTTCTCTTATGAGTGAGTACATGTGGTACTCAGATCTTTGTTTCTGTGATAAATCACTGAGTATTATAGACTCTAATTCCATTCAGTTTGCTCCAAAGTTCATAATTTTGTTTTACTTTATGACTGCATAATATTCCATCATGTAAATGTATCATGTTTTCTTTATCCAGTACATTTCCAATGGGCAGCATGGTTGGATCCATGTTTTTGCTATTGTGAATAATGCTGCAATAAACGTGTGTTTATTGTAGAGTGATTTGAGTTCCTCTGGGTATATTCCTAGAGAGAGATTGCTGGGTCGTATGGAAGGTCGATTTTCAGATAAATTGCCACACTGTTTTCCACAAAGATTGTACTAGTTTACATTCCCACCAACAGTGTATAAGTGTTTCCTTTTCCCCACATCCTCTCCAGCATCTGTTGTTTTTTGAGTTATTGATGGTGGCCATCCTGAGTGGAGTTAAGTGGTATCTCAGTGTGGTTTTAATTTGCATTTCTTTGATGATTAGTGAAACTGAGCATTTTTTCATGTATCTGTTGGCTGCTTGTATATCTTTTCTGAAAAGTGTCTATTTCTTTTGTTCATTTTTTAATAGGGTTGCTTGTCTTTTTCTTTTTGGCATGCTTGAGTTCCTTGTAGATCCTGGATGTCAGGCCTTTGTCAGATATACAGTCGGCAAATATTTTTTCCCATTCCGTGGGCTGTCATCCCACTTTCTTGATGGCTTCTTTTGCTTTGCAGAAGCTTTTCAGTTTGATGAGGTCCCATTTGTCTATTTTATCTTTTATGGCATTTGCTTTTGGAGAATTGATCAGGACTTGGTTGCCTATTCCAATTTTTGTAAGGATATTTCCTACATTTTCTTCTAGGATTCTTTTTTTTTTTTTTTGAGTTGGAGTCTTACTCAGTCGCCCAGACTGGAGTGCAGTGACCGCTCCCGGCCACTGCAGCCTCGACCTGCTGGGCTCCAGCGATCCTTCTGCCTCAGCCTTTCAAGTAGCCAGAACTACAGGTGCACGCTACCACGCCCGGCTAGTTTTTGTTTTATTGCAGAGATGAGGTCTCACCAAGTTGCCCAGGGGGTCTTGAATCCGCAGGCTCAGGCAATCCACTCATCTTGGCCTCCCAAAGCACTGGGATTACAGGCTGAGCCATCAAGCCTGGCCTAGGATTCTTATAGTTTGCAATTTTACATTTAGGTCTTTGATCCATTTAGTGTTTTTGTTTTGAGATGGGTTCTTGCCCTGGTTGCCAGGCTGGGCTCAAAACTCATGATTTCAAGCAATCCTCCCTCTTCAAGACCTCTTGAGTAGCTTGGGACTACAAGCAGGCACCATTACCTCTGGTCTAATTTTTTTTAAAGGATTACAAATCTGACCCCCCCCCCCCACAGGCTTGTATAACGGGAATATCTGCAAAGGTACACCAGAAGCTATTAATATGAAAGTGGGTTTTTAAATGATAGGACAGCAACTTTTACTTTTGATTTTTTTACACAACTGCAGTGTTTGATCAGAAACACTTAGTATTGGATCATTTAATTATTTAAAAGAGTTTTGAAATGTTTGTGATTCTGAAATTTACACATGATCATACGATTTGAAAAGATTATGAACCATTGAGTCAACACTGGATGATTTTAGAGGGTGTTCTTGGCTCTGACCTTTAAGGTTCCTCCCTTTTTCATAAGTGTTCTCCATTCAATAAATTCATTCGCTAACATTGTTGATCTGCCTGTATCTCTTATTTGTTCCCTCTCTAATTCAGGCCCTCATTTATTTTTCCCCTCTTGGTAGGCCTATAGTATTAGCCTGACTTATTACCTCTGAGATTCCTTTTCTATAAAGTTCTTCCCACCCTTCAACCACAGTGAACTTCTCAGGTCACTTGACCCAAATCTTTTACATGCTAATCATTGTAGTGTAAAGTCATGACTTTCTAGTCTGGCATTTGGGCCCTTTCCAGTATATTTCCATTCTACTTTTCCAACCTCATCTTTTTCTTCTACTCCACCTTTTTTTTTTACTCTGTCATCCAGGCTGGAGTGCAATGGCATGCTTATGGCCACTGCAGCCTCGACCTGCTGGGTTCAGGTGATCCTTCTGCCTCTCTTCCAAGTAGCTGGAACTACAGGCTTGCACCACTATGCCCAGCTAGTTTTTTGTTTTATTGTAGAGACGAGATCTCACCATGTTGCTCAGGCTGGTCTCAAACTCCTGAGCTCAGGCAATCCGGATTATAGGCATGAGCCACTGCACCTGGCCTTACTCCACTTTTTCTCATCAGTTCCAGCTACCATGTGCCATTATTACTTTCCCTTCAACATCTTTCATTTTTCTAACTTTACTCATACCAGCCCTTCTAACCAAAATGCTCTCCTCTCTGTCCATATTTTATTCATCCTTTTAGGCCCAACTGAAGTGCCATCCCCTCCAAAAAGTTTTTCTCAGTTACAGCTGGTGTTACAGCTGAAAATGACTGCTCCTTAGATCTCCTGAAGAATGTTATCATTTCTGTTAATGATACTTGGCACTATTACCTTATGTTGTAGTTCTCTGTGTGTTTATTTCTAGTTTGTAAATTCTTTGAAAGCAAGGACTGTGTTTTGTTCATCTCTGCATTCCTTCTAGGGTCCAGCAGATAATACACTGTATGCCTGATAAAAGATGAGACACAGAGTTTAGAGAGACCATCTAGTCCAACCACTTCATAATTGAAATGAAGAGACTTTCAAAGGACATACTGCAAGTTGATGATAGAGATGCAATCGGAACTGAAACTAGGGGAAGTTTGAGTAATAAGGTCCATGGGGAAGATGATTTGCTGAATGAAGGAGCAGTGCTTTAGGAAACACTCTTAATGGAAATTTAAAGACAGGATAATTCAGAATTTGGTACATAGTAGATGGAAATTGGAATTTGTGGGAATATTCTCTAGATAGTATACTGGCAATATCCAGATAGATTGCTATTATCCTGGCTAAACCACACAGGTTGCTATATATTGGTTCGGAATCCAATTGTATAGATATAAATT